TTCCAAAGTGCAACCTGTTGGCTTTCAGGAACACTCAAAGAAATGAAGAGAAAACATTGTGGAAGTCAGTGAATCAAAAGGAAAAAAATTGTATAGGTTGCCTGAAACTCTCAGACTGAAGAAGTCTCTTGGAGGAGAGACGAAACGTTTCATTAAAGAAGAACCCGTCCAGAGGACCTATACAATTTTTTTTTTCCTTTTTTCTAACTGTTTTCATTTATGGCTCACATWTCTGACACAGGACCAACACATTCCTCTTCATTTTACTTGGTTAATAGAGTCAATATTTGTAACCACAATAGCCTGGAAAATGTTATCGTACTCTGCAAACATTTTAAACTTCTGGTTATTTATTTATACCTTCATTTCAAAGAAGCCAGACTTCCTTGTAATCTTTTTAAAGTGGCCTTAAATCAATAATTCTCCAGGTTTTCTGATGTTTCTCTGTAAATGTGCGCTGATTGTTTTTCTTAGTTTTCTGTCCTGTTCTTGGACCTGACCACGACAGCGTTATGTGCTACAAGGGCTTGAAAACATGTGAAGAAATGGAGGACATAAAGTTAACGCCTAAAATAAATAAATAAATAAAACGAGTAAAGATCCAATTTAAAATAGGAATGGGGCCGATCAGGCTCCAATACAAACATAATTACTGAATTGGAATTTTCTGATCCAACGTGTGAAGATATCTGAACCATGAGTTGTGTCTGTGCTATAATGTTGTCTAAACAACTCCAGAAGTGATTCTGGCCGTCTGCTCTATGAGCTGGCTGCAAACTGTGGAGTGGMTTTCCTGAATGTAGGAGAGTCTCAAAGAGACATCCCTGCATTCAGGAAATCTTTTCTACAGTTTGCAGCCAGCGAGCAGCTCTGTGGCTAACCCAACTTCTCATTACAACATGACTTTGTGTGTTTAAAAACAGAGACTTTGAACTATACACCGGTTTTAAAATTGTGTTAATAGGCGAACTAAAACCAGAGTTATGATAAATCACATATCAGACACATTTGTTTTTTTAATTAAATGATTGTCTTTTTGAAAGATGCTGCTKCTGCAGCAGCACACGAGTAAAAAACCCAGCTCTCCATCAGTCTCAGCCTTCTCTCAAGCCGAACAAACAACCATCTCATCCTTTCTGACTGAGGTACAAAAGTATTTTCCATTGCCAAAAATTCTGCACCAGAAGGAAGAAAAAAAMCCCACGAAAGTCGAATGAAGTTTTGGCGCCGATGGAGAGCAGAGTAATGAGATCTGTGACATTTAGCCTGTTTGGATTTTATAACTRAGTTGTAGTTTAGTTTGTTTACAGTTCAGTTTGAGTCAAAACAATGAGGTGACTTTTGAATGTGAAACTAAAGCCTGTTTGAGGAGGATGGAGGTTTGCTACATTTGTTCACATACTTATGAATATTACTGTTTTTAATTGTATTCTATCCCACTGTATATAAAATCAACAATAATGACAATATTAAATGACTAATGATGATGATGACTTGTTGTGAAATGAGCTGCACATTGCACAACAACAACCGTGACAGCTTTTTATACTGAGGAGGTGGAGCCTCACCCGGGGGTTGCTAGGTAAGGGGCTGAACGCAGGTTCCTGTGGGTTGTCGTACGGCTTGTGACATCACAAAATGATGGAAGTATAAAACTYATCGTTAATATACATTAAAAATACATTTACTTACAGTAAATATGCCCCATGGGTGCATTTTTTTTGGTCCTAGGCCTGTTTTTTTTAAGAAGTACATACCCAAAGTTGAGTAAAAAAAACCTTTAGAAAGTGAATTTTGCATAATAGGTCCCCTTTAACTGAACGTGCGTTTCATAAACACGCATTCATAGTTGTGATTTCTTGTTTCTGTGTGCATATAATTACATAATCTTTACGGCAAAACACCCTTTTGAAATTTAAAACACAATAAAAACCTCCAACGTGATACATTACTTGAATAAAAAGACTTGTCGTGCAGTGTACACTGATTTATCTTAACTAATAAAGCGATAGAAAAACAGTTATCTTACTAGATGTGAATTTTTTTGTTTTTAAATACAAATTTCAAAACAAAATTTTTAGAGCCATAATCATCAAGGGCTCGACACACGGGGGGAGCGACAAACTACAGCGATTAACGGCTGTCATCGCAGCCAGGGTGAAACCCGACACACGGG